CTGACTCCCCTCAATTCTTCACAAATGATTCAAAGGAACAAAATGTTCTGATAGGGAATCCTGGAATGGTTTAGGTTGGAAGGGACCTTAAATCCCATCCCATTCCTCCCACTCTCATCACATACAATTTCTTCCTTCTATCCAATCTAAATCCATCCCCTTTTCAGTTTCACACCAAACTCCTTGTCCTGTCACACAGGATTTATAATCAGCAGCTTTTGTGTGCCATGGATGTGGGGGCCATGTTAATATTTACATCTTTTGTGTGAAAATCACCTTAATTATATAAGTTGTCTTCACAAGAGGATAACCAGAAGCCCTCAAGCCAGAGAGGCATTTACAGAGACACTTCTGGAGGAAAATCCACTTCATCAGATATCTGAAACAGCTCAGATTGCATTCTGAAAGCACCTGTTTTATTTTAATATTAAACAGATCTGAGGGTGAAAAATTCTGGCACAGCTGATGACACCTGTAAAAATCTGAAATGTAGGCAGGGAAAATGTTCCTCTCTTTGCCAATAATGCAGGAATACTTTGGACTAAAACTTTATAGCCAGGCTACTACACAGGAAAAAAATCTAAATATTAAACTTTTTAAGGCAGCATAAACTGGAGATTCTCCTAATTAGTTCTGTTCCTCTGCATAATTAACCATCACACCCTTGAAACCAAATGTGAACAGTAAAATTGATTTTACAACCCCCCATTTTCCTTCCAAATTATGATCAGACTTGCACTGGAAATTACTGGGGAAAGAAATAGTTGTCTCCTTACTGTTCCACCATACCAAAACCTTGTGTCACCCTCTCCATAAAATAAAATTATTTTCCATTCATTTTCCACTCCACAGACCCTCGAGCTACAGCTGCAGAAACACGAGAGAGAGTTAAAGATGCTCCATGCTCCATCTCCACCTTTTCTAAGGGCCTAAGCCAAATTCATTTCATCCATGGCAAAAAGAGAGAAAACCCTTCACTGATAATAAATAGAATTTCATTTTCTTCTGCTGAGAAATTTCAGCATTCATGGAGTTTCCAAGGAATCTGGTTAGAGGCAGCAGAGAAATGCCCACCATGACAATTTCAGGCCATTTCTTCCTTTTACCTCCAATAAAATCAAATTTAACTTAATCATATCTATAAGAACCTGGGAAAAAAATTCAAATAAAATAGAAAAAGGGAGCCCAGAGATCTCCAGAGCTTTGTAGAACACAAAAAGTCCTCCCAGGAATGGAGGGATTATAGGGAATTCTGTTCCCAATTATTTCTGCCACCAACTCTGGAACATTGCAGCATCAGGCAAGAGAAACCAAGAGGACAAAAAACTCCCAGGCATCAGAGAAAAGAAGCAGAAGTTTGTCCTGAAGATATGGACAAAAGGATGTTGTGGTTGTTCTATAAGGAGAGGGGAAAAAAGGGAGAGAGTTGGAGAAAATGAAAGCAAAGATGAAGAATTGGGCAGGAGGAACCTCCAGGAGCTGGCAGAGATGGAAACAGATTTGAGAAAGAAGTGGGGTATTGGGAAAAAATTTGTATAGAAACATGTCCACAAAAACAATTTAAGGGCAGAACTTATGAAAGAGATAGCCACATTTAAAAAGAAGAATTAAAACTCAGATATGAGCCTACACAAAACCAGCACTGAGTTACAATTCCAACAGTAAAAACTACTTTTTGTTTTCAGGACAACGTGGAAAGATTGAAGGATGTGCTGGGTTTGTCCAGCAGTTTACATGGAATAAGAGTTCTGTCACTCTCCCCAATATCTAAAATATGATATGAACTTTTCTAGACTTTGGAAAGAAGAAAAAGAAAATTTGTTTTTTAAAATAGAAAAAAATTACCATCAAGTAAGAGACACCAAAACAACAAAACATGACAAAATCATGATTCCAGGAGTTATTTTATGTGATATTTCTTCTCTGGTGAACTTCAGTTCTGAACTTTGTACTTCTGTAATCTTTAAATCTCATTTATTTATCACCTTTACCCATTCTCAGGCACCAGACTGTCAGCACTCTGAATAGATAATTAAAAACAGCTTTTTTCATTGTTTTCCACATCACAGGGAAAAAAAATTTCCCTAATCTCCAATCCAAAACTATTCTCTGTCAGCTTGGTGTCACCTGCAGATGTGCTGAGGGTCAATATCCCCTTATTTTCCTCAAGGTCAAGTTTGTAGGCAGAAAAATTTAAAATGAACTTTGCAGACCTATCAAAGGTTGCTATTTTTGTGCTGTGCATTCCCTCACTCACAGGTAGTGGGTTCAAAGAATGATTTGCTCAAGTTCAGTATCTTCTTCCTACATCAGCACTTTGAAAAGGAATAACTACAAGGGTTTGGGTTGTTTTTTTTTTTTTTTCTCATGCTTCAAACAGGCAGATAAAAGTGAGCAAGAAAATTAAAATATGACATGAGTTACTACGATGTAAAACAAAGATCCAGCTGACCTCTTTATCTGAGCACTTCCTCGATGTCCTTTTATGAAAGGCAGAAACAACCCCCACTAATTATCCTTCTTTCCAGAGCATTAGAAGAAAACTTGATATTTATTCCACAGAAGCATTTCCTCACTCCAAAATATTATGTACATGAAGCCACTGCTGGGAGTCTGCTGGCATGACTTGAATATTTGGGATATTTGAATATTTCAGGTGTTTTACACACTGGAAATGACTCAATATTGCTGCACATCATAATTCTCTTCTCTCCCAGAAGATTTCCAAGCAACTTTCTGGCCCCAAAGGTAGGAGCCACCCAGCAAAAGGGTGCACAAGTCCCTCTTCGGGTTTTTCACATGCTTAAAAACATAAATAAACTTTGAAAATCAACCTGTAACCTCCAAAATTACTTTAATTGTTTTAATTCACACTCACCCTCTTCATTCCAACACTTCACTCAGCCCAAAACATTCACCTGAGCCCAAAGTCCTTTCTCAAAGTCATGGTTTTTTTGCCTTTCTGGATTTGAAATGCCCTGATTTTGGAATGCAAACATTCAAGGTGTGTTAATGGCTCAGAATTGTGACAGCTGCTGCAGAAAGCAGCCCTTGGCTCCAGCACAGCCCCATTAAGCATCCATCAGAAACTACTCTGGATTTGCTCATTTATTACTCCTGCATGGCCCAAAGCAGGGGGAAAAAGGGAGAACAGCAAGACTTTCTTCCTCTGAAGCAAAATCATAAACCACTTACTTATCCTAATGTCACGATTCCCACTGTTTATCTGCATGATAATTAGGAAAATGAGTAGTAATGAGGTTTATTTATTTATTTATGAGCGTGATTTGAATTCAAATATCTCTAAAAAAAAAAAAAAAAAGACATTGCAGTATTTTATTATGTTATCAGAGGGGTGGATTTTTCCAAACTCAATTAAATTACAGAAAGTAATGAGACAAGAAATGTTATCACCTTCTTTTGCCTCAGCCACCCCAAATTTATGTTGACAAACTTCTCCCATATTACTCCTGTGTGATTTTTTTTACAGCATTGACAGCTGAAACCAATTTCTGCTTTCAAAATTAAAGTTTGGTTGGCCACTTGTTGAAATCAGGGGTCTCATGTGAAGTGGAACGTGCCTCTTTGTCTTTAAATCTTTATATTATTTACATTATTCACAGGGTTTTTTGATTTTTTTTTCTATTTGGGGCAAGGTGTCAGATTCCCCAAACACCCAACTGTACACACAAAACACCAACATCACAATTCCTGATAGGAAATTGAATTTCCAGCTCCAAAGTCCCCTGTACTTTGCAGGGCTGAGTGAAATTAAAGAACTTCTTCCTCAAGAGAACTGGGCTATAAGGAGAATAATTCTTATTACTGAACTAAAAGGGTGTTTTAATGTCCCAAATTTATTAAACCTTACATTAAACTCTTCCTTTCTTTAAAAAAAAAAAAAAAAGAGGCAGAGTAGTTTTTCCTCTGGGCACATCATGGTACAGCTACCACAGATCACATGACACTTGAAAGGACTGAAAAATTTCTTAAAATTTGTATAAACCCCCCCAAAACCTACAGACTTTACCATGATATTCCACTTTTTTTCCTCATCCCTTCTCTGAAATATCCTTTTTAATTGATTTGTGTACCTGCTTTATATTGGCACCTATTGCCACAACATTTGAGCACCTCAATACAATCCAGACAGCCAATGATATGAAAAGGTATTAAAAAGTTATCCAAAAACCCATCAAAATTTAAAATTACATCTACAAAGGACTTCCCCCAGGCTCTACTCCAAGCTGAGCAAACCAAGTGACCTCACCCACTCCTGAAATCAGCAGTAAAACAAATTGCCTGAATTCCACTCCTCTGTCTGCCAAAACACTGAAATCTGGGAATTCAACCCAAAATGAGGACAACCTAAAGGAGACACTATTGAAT